TGCCAGATAAGTGAAGTAGTACGTCGAGGGACGGTAGTTCGTCGTTGCTTTCGGCCTCCATTGTGAACTGAATATCAGGCGACACTGAATTCAGTACATTGTGAAATGTTTGATGATGGTGACAAAGGTATCATCGACATATCGGGTCCAAAATTTTGGCCTGTAGGTCTCGAAAACTTCGTTTTTTACCTTTTGGAGGACTGCATCTGCGATGAAGCCTGAAAGCGGTGATCTCATCGACGTCCGGGTTTGTGTACCTTCGGTAGGCCATAGGAACGTGCTGCGGCCGCATCTGTTGGCTTAATGGTCAGCCTTACCGATTTGCTTATTGCTCTGTTTGATTGCATTTCGGCGAGTGTCTTCTCCAGTTGCGTCCCAACCGTCTTTATCGATTCCTCACCACATGGCAGGTAGGCCTGTCGGTCCTCCAGCAGAGCGTTGGCCTTCTGGACATAGTCAGTCTTATCCAGCACTACCGTGGAACGTCCTTTGTCTGCCGGTAGTATTACAATGCTGGTGTCATTCCTGAGTGCCTTGAGAGCGTTCTGCTCCGCTTTGGTAATAATTGCACGTGACTTGTGCGCCATCAGCAAGGAGGTAACTTGTTGCCGAATGAGATGCGTTGCCTCGTCCGGTTCTCCGGTTTGCTTGAGGATCAACTCGACCGTGGCCATGAGATTGACCGGATCGGTGTTGAAGCAAGCTTCATGACTCGGCACTTTCAATTGTATAGGAGTTAGCTGCTTAGAGGATATGCTGTGCTGGGACCTGGGATGGAGATGGCGTAACTGTGTGCTGGTGAAGACGGCCGGTGTCCCTTCCTCTGGCTATCGCCGACGCGACTGGTGACTGGCGCCCCTGCAGCGATTACAGAGCCCTGAACCACGTTACCGCACCGGACCGCTACCTTGTCCTGAAACTTTAGGATTTCGTCGGCATCCTATTTGGCATATCTGTGTTTTCGAAGATCGAACTGGTCTGCGCCTACCACCAAATGCCTATCGCTCAGAATGACGTTATCACCGTTATCACTCCCTTTGGCCTTTTTGAGTTCCTGAGCAGGCCGCTTGGACTCCTCAACGTCTCTCGGAACACCTAGATGTTCGTAGGCAGACTGCTTTGCGGCCTACCACTTGTCTACGCATATATCAATGACCTGTTGATTGCTAACGCAACCGTCGAAGCATATGTGGATCGTCTTGCAACGTAGTTCGATCGCGTTGTTATCAACCCCTCCAAGTGCGTCTTCGGTGTCCTCTCCCCAGAATTTCTCAGGCATCTGGTCTACTCCAACAGCATCCATCCTCTTCCATTGAACATCGCGGCTATACGTGATTTCCCGCCTCCCTTTTCCGAACGTACGCAGCAGCGATTTCGAGGCATGGCGAATTTATAGCGCCGGTTTCCCCCGCACTATGCCGACACCATCCTGCCGCTAGAGAGTCTCCACTCGTGCTCGTGTTAACGGATCACAAGTCCCTTCCCCTAGCTCTGAAGTCCACTTCCGACAAGCTCAACGCCCCGGAAATTCGTCAAATGGACCACATTCCGCAATTTACTGTAGTCATCCGTCACATCGACGGGCTACGCAATGAGGTGGATGGCGCATTCTCCAGGCCCTTCATCGCTCATCTCCAGCTTTTACCCAGGATCGATCTTGCTGAGGGGGATGCCGAGCAATGCTGTCTTGGCTCTTCCTGTGACGAGGACGTTTCCGGACTCCAACTTCAGGACCTGCCACTGAATACTGGAAACGGGGCCACACTCTGTGGTGTCTCCACCTCCTCCCACAGGCTTTTGTTCCGCCATCCCTCCGCCGCAAATTGGTTAGTTTACTTTATAATCGTGTGTTAGGTTTATGTTCATATTATTTTCTATTTAAAATGGAGGAGGTTGTCCTGGTTTTATTTTTGGCTTATCGTTTTCCTTATAGCTACTCCCCTTTATTGTGATGTTTTTGTGTTGTTGCGTGTTTTTTTTCATTTTGTCTCTCTATGTTTGGTTCGTTTGTTAAGTAGTCGCCGGGAGTTTCTCAGAAGTTTTATTCCCATTGGAACTCGTTTATACATCTGTCAACTGGTTTGTTGTGCAGAAACTATAAGTTATATTACACGTCCTTTTGTTCTAATATTTCGTCCTTTCATAAATTTCAGTTTGGTGCTGTAGCCGTCGGAGTTTTTGTTTATGAAGTTGCAGTTGATTTTTCTGCTTTCCATAGTTTTTAACGAGCTAATTGTGGCGTTAGTTCATTGCCTTATCGTGAAAAGCATATTGTCCTTTTCTGTGGACCGTTAACTTGGCATGCTGGTGCGATTGCATGTTGATTTAATTGTATTTTCTTTTGTATTATCTCTGGCTTTTGTGTGTTATGTGATTTTGTTTATTCATTATTGGGGTTTTGGGTACTTTTGGAGTTGTCCGACTGATCCGCTGTCCCTCGCCTTTTTTGTTTTTACGATGGAGGTGGTTTTAACCTTCTTAGTTCTTTAATGATGTATAGTATCATGGCTGGTGTCTCATCAGCATTCTTGCTGAGGGGAGTGGTATTTAGTGAACTTTACTTATTTATATTAATCCTGTTTATTATAAAGTTGGGGTTGTTTCCCCTTGTGTTTTGGGTCTATACTGTGTTTGTGGGGTGGTAATTGAGGGTTAATATTTTTACTGAGTGTCCTATTAAAGTCTTCTGTTTTAGTTTTTAGTTTTATGCTTCAGTTTGGGTTGTGTTTTGTTAGTATTTCTATAAGTTGACTGTTTTTTTTTACGATTCTGTTGTGCTCCTTACTATTGTAGATTTGTAGCCCGGGTTGGGAATGCGTGTGGTGTCATATTTCTTTATCGTCTGTGTCAACTCTTCTAGTCGCTTGTTTTTGCACATATTTTGTATTGTCTGGTTTAACATATGGTTACTATTTTTGGGCGTTAGGCTGTATATGCTAATTTTTACATTTGGGTAGAGTTGAGGGTGTAAAGGAGAGATTTTGGGTTTTTTTGTTTTTGGTAACCCCTCTAACTTTACCGCTATTTTATAAGTTAGGGGTGTTTTTGGAGATCTGCGTACTCTTCTGTGTATATTCTTTTAATTTGGTCTGCGTATTGTCTTTCTGAACAGGTTTTTTGTATAAGTTGGCTGGGGATGGTTATTTATCTAGTACCCTTTTGATAATAAATTATTTATTTTATGGGAGCGTAGGATTTTGGGTTATGCTGAGATTCGTAAGGATCCCAATAAGGTTGAGGTGCTGTGGTTACTTCGGAGGTTTGCTGATTTGCTTAAGTTGGTTGTGAAGTACAAGATGTATGGGTTTCAAATTGGTAGTTATGTTTCTGCGTTGGATGTGTATTTATTAGTACTGATAGTGGTTTTTTTATTGTGTTCTTCTGGGAATTTGTTATGGTTTTAGTCGTATGAGGTACTCTATGCTTTGATATTTGGTTATTACGTCTTTTGGAATTTATGCTTTGTTGTGTGATTGTTGGGGTAGATAAAGTAAGTATTCAATTTTGGGTACAATGAGTTCTGCTTTTGGCTCTATTAGTTTTGAGGCTTGTTTTATGTGTTTGGTTGTTTTTTTGTGCTTTGTGTTATGGGGGGTATAAATTGGTTGATTATTATAGTGCTCGGTGGTTTAGTGTGTTTTTCTTCCCCTGCTGTTATTTTTTATTTTTGGTGTGTATACTGTGTGAGACTAATCACACTCCTTTTGATTATGCTGAGTCAGAGAGGGAATTAATGAGGGTGTTTAAAACTGAGTATAGTGGTATGTTTTCTGCTTGTCTGTTTGTCTGTCAGTATATCATTATATTCATATTTTCATGGTTAGGCGATTTAGTTTTATTTGGTTGGATTTTTTGGCTGTATTTGTTGTTCTTTTTCATCTTTCATTTTTTATGTGGGCTCGTGTAACGTTGCCGCGGGTTCTTATGGTTATTTTGTTAAGTTTTTTGGTCTGTGGGGTAAGGCATTTTGATATTGATGCTTTTTTTTCAGTTGTAATTTGGTGTTTTTGACCCCTTTAGTGTGTTACAGATTTAAGTTACCCTAGGGATAACAGAGTGATAGGTTATTAGAGATCTTATCGATTAAACTGTTTGCTACCTCTATGTTGACTTGCGTTAAACGTTCTGGCACAGTTGTTAGGAGTTTTGGTCTGTTCAACCATATGTACCCCATGAGTTAAGACCGGCGTAAGCCAGGTCGGTTTTTATCTATTGCTATAACTCGTTACTACGAAAGGATTGCGGGTTATTTTGGTAAACGCATTGCCTTAGGGTCTCAGTATTGCAAATACTGGTGTGAATATGTAATTATTTTGGGATTTTATCCGCTTGACTATGACAGTAGAAAGGGTATTAAGATGAATCGCATAAATATGCTTTGTTGTTTTTAGGGCAGCATGAGTGCTTCGTGTTTATTAGTGATAAATATTTTATTTAAGCGTGGGCTTTATTAAAGGCCTCAAGATAGAGGTGATCAGGCCCAAAGCCAGTATCCGCGGTTATTCTGTTTTCTCTGCTTTTTGTGGCTTTGCATAAGGGGTAGTTATAAATTAATTTGATTGAAATTTCTTTACTTTTGTTACTGTTATCTCTCGGGGCAGTAAATAACTGTGTAGTGAGGTGGATTGGAGACCCCCGTAACTAACTATTTAATTCAGCTTAGTTTTACAAATTAAATAGTTTAGCAGTGATTTATTCCGGTCAGGGGAAGGTGCGTTTTAAAAGGCGATCCGCCTATTAATTTATCTCGGCTATGTTGGTGAATATCTGGTTGAAAATTGACAGTTCGACCATCGGTTGCGATGATGTCCACCGTGTGCCCCACAGTTGCAGCAGCAATGGAAACAGGGACGGTGACTTGCGCAGGGGTTTATAGTGCCGGTAGACTTGCGTAACATCTACCTACACCCCCTCCTCCTCCTTCGCACGAGCCCGGTGTCAAGACACAGTCAAGAAGACCGGAGACGAGGGAGGCCGCAGGTGGATGGCTCGGACGGATCCTCACCTTGGCGTTCCACCACACCCCCTGGTCCACACAACAATAACCAGGATTTCAACCAACACAACAGACATTTGGAGGCTGGCACGGCCGAAGCCGCACCTGGGCGTGCCGCCAACGCCTGGCTCGGATCCCACACTGTGATGGGTGTGCCATAAAGGCCACATTAAAAAGGAGCCATTGCAGCCTGACTCTCAGACCGCCTCCAGTCAAGGAGGAGGTCCAAGTTACCCCGTCAGTTGGCAACCTTCCAAGCCACGGCTTTTAGCGCACCGTGATAGCTTCAAGCGCGTCAGATTGTTTATAGTGAGGAAAGTGCGCTGAGTCGTCGACCTCACTCTCCCTTCCCACTGCCACACCCCAGCGCTGTCCGAGCCTGTCAGCAGACTGGAGTGGGAGGTGGACGCGGTGGCTGTCATGGTCGACTGACCATGACTGCGCGCGCCACGGCACGACCTGGCCCCCCATACACACAACACCAGGATTTCACACAACGGGGGTTTAACGGCGTGTCTCTCACTTGCGTGAGAGTGCCGTGGAAGGTGCTGTTTCAGCCCGTCCCAAGCCCACCAGTCCGCCACTCCTCACAACACGCACACACAACGCAACGAACTGCGTGAACCGAGAACGGGCGTCAATCAGCAACCTTCCTATCCACGACGCTTGACGCGTCGGAATGGACTGGGCGTGGCGGGTGTGTTGGGTGTCTTGGGTGTGTCGGAGTTGCGGTCAATTCCGCTCTCGTGGATGCGCATGTGGCCGAATAGGCCCATGCGATGCCTGAAGGTGCGAGGGCAGTGTGGACAGTGGAGGCGAGTGCGGTGGGTGTAGGTTGGTGCTTCAGGGACTGGGTCGCCAGTCTCTGTGCGATGGAATTGCAGGTGACCGACGAGGCCGATGCGTGAGGTGAATGTACGTGGACAGTGTGTGCAGGTGAAGTCGGCGGCGTCCGTGTCAGCTACGGAGGACGCAGTGATGGTGGTGGTGGTGGTGGTGATGGTGGTGGTGGTGGTGGTGTTGGTGTTGGTGGTGGTGGTGGTGGCGGTGGTGGTGGTGGACGCTCAGGGCGATAGAGCGAGGGTGGGACTGGGCGTGGTGGGTGTGCTGGGTGTCTTGGGTGTGTCGGAGTTGCGGTCAATTCCGCTCTCGTGGATGCGCATGTGGCCGAATTGGCCCATGCGATGCCTGAAGGTGCGAGGGCAGTGTGGACAGTGGAGGCGAGTGCGGTGGGTGTAGATTGGTGCTTCAGAGACTGGGTCGCCAGTCTCTGTACGATGGATTCGCAAGTGACCGACCAGGCCGATGTGTGAGGTGAAGGTGCGGTCGCGGTGAGGGCAGGTGTAGTCTTGATCCTCATCGCTGAAGTCGGGGGAGGTGGTGGTAGTGTCGGTTGTTGCGCGCGGGACAGTCGCCTGAGCGGCCGTCGTTGGTGCAGTGAACGAGAAGGAGGAGGATGGGAGTTGTGGGTCAGAAGAATTGTCAGAGTTAGTTGGCCGCGGAGAGGACGAGGAAGAGGCGGGCGGGGGACGATGTTTGGTGCAGTTGGAGAGGCGCAGTTAATCCGAAGCTGTCCAACAAGTCCGATTCGAGCCCGGAATGTCCGTTGACATCGAGGACACGTTGGAAGCGGTTGGGCGGCGTTGCGTACTGGACGAAATTGGTATTTGTGGGCTTCGCGTTTCGCTTTGGCGGCAGCGATGCGGTTGGCTTCGTAGATCGCAGCGTCTGTCTTCACTGTCCTCCTCCAGGTCGGTCGATCGAGTGCGAGCTCCTCCCAGTTGGTCGGGTTGATTTGCAAGCGCTTCAGGTAGGACTTCAGGGTATCCGTGTAACGGCGAATCTGGCCGCCTTGACGGCGAGAACCCGTCGCGACGTCTCCGTAGAAGAGTCGTTTGGTTAGTCGCTCATTGTCCATGCACACCAGGTGGCCTCTCTAGCGCAGCTGCATTTGTCTCAGCATGGAGTAGATGCTCAGGATTCCCGTCCGTTCCAGCACATCAGTGTCGGGGATGCGATCCTGCCAGTTCAGCCTCAGGATGCGGCGAAGACAACTAAGGGGGAAGTGGTTCAGACGGCGTGCCTGCTTTGCGTACACCGTCCAAGTCTCCGCTCCATACAGTAGTGTCGGCAGGATGACGGACTTGTACATCTTCAGCTTCGTGCTCAGCTGAAGACCGTGGCGATTCCGAACTGTGCTTTGGAGGCGGCCGAAGGCTTGACTGGCTTTCGAGATCCTGTTGGCGACTTCGTCGTCGATCTTGGTGTTGCGGGAGAGAGTACGGCCCAGGTACGGGAAGTTCTCCACCATTTGCAGTTGGGTTCCGTTCACGCTGATTTGCGGCGGCGCGTTGGTGGCTGTGGCTGAGTTGGGTGGCGGTTGGTGCATCACCACCGTCTTCTGTGTGTTAATGACCAGACCGAAGTTCTCGCAGGCGGCGGAGAACAGGTCCATGCTCCGTTGCATCTCCTCTTCCGTGTTGGTGTTCAGAGCGCAGTCGTCGGCGAAGAGGAGTTCGTGCACGGTGGTTGTGGATACGCGCGATTGGTTGAATTATTATTGCTTAGTTGCTTGATTTTGTGTATTAATATTTAAGCTAATTCTATGTGCTGCATGTTGGCGTTCTTATGCGTTACTTTTATCAGCTTTATGCCTGTAATTGGCTTATGTTTTAGGACCTCGTTGTAGTACTAAATATGTTTGTTGGTGTGAAGGTGGTACACACTATCCTTCACGCTCGATAGTTTTGAAATAAGTCGTAACAAGGTTGTCCCAGATGAATCTGGGGCTAACTGCTGTTATGTATTGATAATGGCTGTAATGAAATTTTCTTTGCTTTACCATGACATATCTTGTTATGTTGTTGCTCTTTGTGTTTTCAAAGTGGTGTTTGTTGTGAACTATTGTGCCAACATTGATTGTTTTGGTATTGTGTAGTTTGAATGTTAAATTTATAACTGTCGGTTTAAAAGATCAATCTCAGGAAACCATTAAGGTTGTTGGTCGTCAGTGGTATTGGAGTTATGATTTCTCGAGGGATTCTTTTGGTTCATTTTTGTGAAAGTATGGGTGACAGGTGGATAAGCCATTACCGTTACGTTATTGTGTTGTTTACCGTTTTTTAGTTTTGTCTGAGGATGCTATCCATTATTTTGCTGTACCCTCACAAGAGATAAAGATGGATGCTATACCGGGTCGTATTAAATCAATATTTTTTGTGTCTGACCGTTATGGCGTTTTTTGTGGGTCATTGCAGTGAATTTTGTGGTGTTGGGCATGGTTATATGCCTATTGCAATTGAGGCTATAAAGTAGGAGTATTTTCTACTTTGCTGTATTTATAGCAAAACAGCTTTTCGTGCTGTAGGTGGTAATTTATTTTTTCTAGGTAGGGTAGTGAGATGGTGAGTTTGCTGATTTCGTGTTCTATCTGTTATTTTATTGGGTTGGATTTTTTGTTTAATTAAACATCCTGCATACTATTGCTTGTTGCTAGTTTTGAATTCCTTAATTTCTTATTTTGCAGTTTATGTCTATTTGGGCTTTAGTTGATATGCATTACTTTTTGTGTGGTCCATGTTGAGGGGGGTTACATTTTATTAGTATTTGTTTCTGTTTATAAACCTAACACTAGGGTTGTTCCTTAATGAAATTTGGAAGTTGTGATTTTTTGGTTGGCGTTGGTAGGGTTAGTTGTTTTGGGTGTCTCCGTTTATTTTAGTTGTATAAAGTACGAATCTAGTTTTACATTGCGTACTTGGGCGGAGGGTTATTTTGATATTTGCATGTGTTTAATTCTGTTATTTGGGTTTTCTGTTTTAAGTTTTATTATGAGGATTAAGGGTGTGTATTATTTGTTGTTTAATTTTCTTTTCTGATCTAGCATATTGTATAATGCAGTAGATTGTAAATCATTGTAAAACTAATTGACTCGGCCAGGTCGGAAGTTAAAATAGTTATATATTTTATAAACCCACATAAAAATTAGAATGTTAGTTTTGGGGATTGGAGGACCTTTGTGGGAAGTCAGAGAGTGAAAATAGGGCTGGTATTTGCAGGTTATTTGATATAGTAAACTTAATACTTGTGTTGATGGTGGCAGATCAACCACATTACGACGCAACAACAAACCCATTTCTTTACTGATACAAACACAAACTGAGAGAGCGGGAGACAAAGAGAGAGAGAGAGGGAACCTGAGAGTGAGAGAGAGATAGAGACTGAGAGAGAGAGAGAGAGAGAGAGAGACTAAGATTGATAGAGAGCGAGAGATAGACTGAGGAAGAGAGATAGAGACTAGAGAGGGAGAGAGTGGGGAGATATTGAGAAAGAGCGAGAGACAGAAAGAGAGAGAGAGAGAGACAGGCAGAGAGATGGAGAGTGAGCCTGGGAGACAGAGAGAGGCTGAGTGAGAGAGAGAAAGAGACCGAGAGACAGAGTGAGTGAGAATGAGAGGTAGAGCGCGGGATACTGAGAGGGAGAGAAAGA